TTCTAGATAGGTATTCCACTGTTGAGTCATACCCCAACTGGGAGATTCTAAGTAGAAGCTCTTACCACTGAGCCATGCCCCTAGTAACCTCATTGGAGGATTCTAGGCAGGGGCTCTACCACTGAGCCACACTCCCAGCCCCTCACGGGGAGATTCTAGGCAGGGCTCTACCACTGAGCCACACCCCAGCCCCTCACTGGGGGATTCTAGGCTGGGGCTCTACCACTGAGCCACACCCCAGCCCCTCACTGGGGGATTCTAGGCAGGGGCTCCACCTCTGGGCCACGCCCTCAGGACCCTCTAGGCACCTGTTTTACCTCTGAGCCATGCTCTAGTCCTCTTTTTAATTTTTTTAGATTTATTTTTACTATTTTATGTGTATATTTTGCCCACAGTATGTCATCTGTACTTGATGCTCAAGGAGGTGGTAAGCCTCAATATGGGTGCTGGGAATCAAACCCAGGTTCTTTGCAACCATAAGAAATTCTCTTAACCACTGAGCCCACTCTCCAGCCCAAAGAAGAGGATATGCTTGTTTTGGTTTTGGAGACAGGGTTTCTCTTATTCAGCCAAGGCTGGCCTCGAACTCAGAGGTTTGCCTGCCTCTGCCTCCCAAGTGCTAGGATTAAAGGTGTCCTCCACCGCCACCCAGCCCGGTCCTCTTTTTTTATCTTGAGACAGGGTCTTGCTGGGTGGTCTAGACTAGCTTTGAATTTGTCATCCTCCCTCACGTCCTGAGTGGCTGAGATGACAGGTCTGTGTCACCAGGCCAGGATAAGAGTCTTAATGTCTCTTTAGAAGTCCAAATGTCCACGAGTCTTTAACATCGTAGTTACATTCCCAGCTCTGGGCCTCAGGATGCTGTGTAAAGCAGTGGTTCCAGCTGGGCATGGCAGCCTACACAGTGGCTGAGGCCCCTCCTGTAGATATTTGACCTTGGAGAAGGTGCCTCCGACCTATGGGCCCCAGTTTCTCCAGTCAGACTTGATGTGATGGCAGTGTCTCCCTGGGAGGGTTACTATAAGGAGTGGAAGGAATCCCCATGCATCTTGGCACAGGGCTGGCTCTGGAGGCGCCCCACGAAGGCTGTTATGACTACACTAGGCTCGTGTCCTAGGGTTTTCTAGGCAAGAGCAGGACAGCTTCCTTCTGCACCTCCCCACAGTGCTTCACCCTTCCATGGTGCTTCCCACCTTCCTCGAAGTCTAGACAAGGGCTCTGGGACTAAGTTCAAAGTGCTGGGACCCTGCTACTGTCCCCAGCCTCATCTCTTTCCTCCCCATCAGCTCTTACTCAGCTCAACTTGCCCACAGCCTACAGACAGCTCCTCACAGCTTCTCTCTGGGATGGGCTCCTGTCTGCCCTGTACCAGGGCCCTCCCTGCCCATCTCTAAGTCTTGCAGCCCCTTCATCCCTGCCTACCATGACAACAGCCTAGTATGTGTTTCCAGGCAACAAGGGGCACTCTGCCACTGCAGTCACTCTCTTGCCATCCTCTGTCTGGCAAAACCACCCTCGCCTCAGGACCAGGAGTGAAGGCAGAAAGGCTTCTTCCCAGCAGGGAGGGAGAATCCTGAAGCTTAGACACAGCATATCTCCCCGCAGGGCTCCGGGGAGAACATGGGTGCACTAGTACTGGCTGGCCATGGGGACCCCACCAAGGGGCCCAGCATCTGCCTGGAGGTGAAACCAAGCGATCACCTTTCTGTGTCCCCAGGGCTCCCGTTCTCCAATCCCACGCAAAGGTACAGCTGCCCTTTAACCCCTAGGGAAGTCTATTGTGCCGATGGCTGTGAGTTGACACAGGGAGGGGACTGTTAGGTATGCAGCTGGTGTCTAGTGACCGTCAGTGGACGAAGACAGATCACACATGACAGGGTAACTTCTTGCAGGTAGATCCCAACCTTGGGAACCTACATTTGGGTTCTTCTCCAGTTTAAGGGGCTCTTCCTGCCATTGGTGCAGGTGGCCACGGGAAGTGGCTGCTCCTTTCCCCACCCCACCCCCTTCCCTCTCCTGCTCTGTGGACACCTGTTGTTTGGGGATAGAGTCTCACTGTATAGCCCTGGCTGGCTTGTCATAGACTGTTGAATGCTGGGATCATCAGTGCACCATCCTCCTGGCCAGACACAGGGAACCACAGGCCTCAGGGACAAGAAGGGGTTTGGGAGACCCAGGAAAGGGAGCAGAAATGGGGGTTGGGTCGCCTAGTGCTGGCAGCAGAGAAGGCTGGCAGGTATCCAGGAAGGTGCCAGACTGAGGATGGTGGGTCAGGCCCTGGAAAGAGCAGCTGGATGGAGGGGAGGGGACACCCAAAGCTTAGCAGAGAAGATGGGGTGGTCACTGAGGAACGGATGCTGGGGGAACGGAGCCCTGGCAGGAAAGCAGAGTCCAAGCCTGAACCAGGCCATCCATGCAAGAGGCCAAGCAGCGCATCCTCCGCTACAGAGCGGTTTCCACATGGACCCTGATGGTGCACCTGCGCTCTGCCTGCCAGCTGTCAGGGGCCCTCGAAGCCTGAGGTCTCACTGGCTGTCCTCTGGGGTGGCAGATCTTGGTGGAGCTCCCTCCGGGCTCCTAGGAGTATGAGGGGCAACTGCTGCGGGCTCCCCCCACCCCCACCGGGAGCCCCTCTAGCACACTCCCTTCAGTCACACCTCACTGCAACAGTGGGGACGGTGGGGTTACCTCTCTCTGCAGTCACAGGCGGGGCTTCAGGGCCTCCCTTCCTGTCTCTGAGAGGAGCATGTTCACAGGAGGGCCTCTGCCTTTGTCCTTTCCTCCAGGTCTCCGTGAGCACAGGATTCCAAGTGTGGGGACTTCTTCTTCCCTGGTGTGCGTGAGCGTGTGCGTGTGTGTGCACACGTGTGCATGTGTGTGTTCACTGCACACTTTCCTCTGGGTTGATCTGGACTCCTCTCTGCTTCTGGGTGGCAGAGTGCTATCGAGCTCCGTGTGCTGTGTGCTATCTGTCTATCTAGAGTGGTTCACGGGTCTCAGGCTCCCTGAGTCTGCGGCTCTGGGTCTCTGTGCTGGCTCAGAGAGAATGTGTACCCCTTCCTATCTCCCAACTGAATTTTCCCTTAAGGGAAATTAACCCTTTGTGTGTATGTATGTGTGTGTGGGGGGGAGGGGGTGTTTCTGTGCAATAATGTATGTGTGTCTGTATGGGAAGCCATTCCTCTCTCTGGCTCCCCATCTCTATACTCCCTTTTGAGTGTCTCCCAACAGCTGCTCTTAGGCTTCCCTCTTCTTCTGTGTGTATTTGAATAATCAGGTGGCTGAGGACCAGAAGGAATCGGAGAAGGCCCAGGGAAGAGGAGGCGGCAGGTGGGAAGGGGAAGAGGAAGCCGAGAAGTGCAGCAGTGAGCAGGCAGAAGATGCTCCAAAGGAAAGAGAGACCAAGCCAGCCAAGGTCCTGGGGGAGGAGCGGTGGGGAGGGGTGCTGCCCGCTGCCTGGACCGGGAGGGAAGCGGACTCGGCTACTACCAGCTGCCACTGTAGCCTAGAGTTCCTGTCTGGCGCTGCGCGGCTGGACTCGGGATGTGAGGCGCATAGCAATAGCAATGGGTGATGCGGAGGGAGGCGCGGCTGCAGCTCCCAGCTGGGGAGGGGGCGAGGGGTACCCCAGGCTCCTCCACTGCTCAGCTGGGGTGCTCCCCGGGAGGATTCCCCAGCCTAGGGAAAGTCACCCGAAGCTGCAGGGCAAGGAAGGGCCAGAGGTGGGAGTACCCAGAGAGGAAATGGTGCTCAAGAACATTGGGGGACTCAGAATCTAGCGGGGAGACTGGTTGGTCCCCTGGCCCAAGAGGTGGATCCGGAGAAACTGACCACGGAGACCTGGGAGGGACCCTGGACCCAGCCTGAGCTATTGGCCTAGGATTGAGAGCTAGGAGGAAGGAGACCGGGAGAGGGTTCTGGAGAGAATCTGAGGTCTAGAAGTGGGTGGAATCCGAGTACCCCCCCACATGTGAGGAGACAGGAAGACAGACCTTTGGGGGAAGAAGGGTCACAGAATGGGGCTTCCAAAAAATCTGGGTTGAGGAGAAAGGGGGGTACCAGCTAGCAAGGTTAGGGGCTTAAGGCAAGGAGAAGAATGGGGCCTAGAGGATCGCAGGCCCAGCTAGGTCTCCAGGAAGGAGGGCGGAGGGATAGGACGTCTAGGGGAGAGGGTCATAGATGGGCCGAAAAGGGGAAGTGTAGTTAGAAGGCCCTGGAAGAACAGGTGTGAGGGAGGCCGGCAGTGACTGGGGAGGTCCCCGAGCGAGCAGGGGTTCCAGGGAGACTGTGTGAGGACCGCAGCCATGAGTCCCGATGCGGGTCAAGGAAAGGGGGGTCCTGAGCGTAGGGAGGGGCAGGACGCGCAGTCAGAGAGAGGAAGATCGTTGATGGGGAGTGGGATCTGAGGCCTCCTCCCTCTCCAATCACCCCCCTCTTGGCTTTTCCCATGTTCACTTCCCAAACTCCCCGGTTCTCCCCGGTTGCCACGGCAACCGCTCCTGCCAGGCGCGGTCACCAAGGAAACCCCGTGCCCGCCTCTCCCCCTCCCCATCGCCCGCACGCCCCCCGGCGGCCGGGAGGAGGGTGTGGGGGAGCGGACTCCCGCCCCGGGCCGCAGCCGGGCAGCCAGCTGCGGTCGCCCCGCCTGGGGCGCCGGTCCAGGTCCCGGCCCGCATCCCGGGTCTGCGTCTCCATCCCGTCCAGCCCCATCCTGGATCCGCGTCCCCATCCATCCCGGCCCCAGCCCTGTCCTGCCTCATCCCCGCACGCCGCGCGCTCCGACTCACCGCGGGCTCCGGGCTCCCGGCGAGGGGCGGCATGCCCCGCGGGGTCCGCTCGGGGCGCGGGGCCTGGGCCGGGGGCGTCCTCGGGGTCGCGGCTCCGCCCCCGCCCGGCCCGCCGCCCGCCCGCGCTCCGCGCTCGCCGCCTGCCAGCCTGGCCGCCGCCCGCCTCCGCCGCGGCCCCGCCGCTCCCCCCACCCACCCCCCCCAGGCCCCGGCCCGGCCCGGCCCCCGCTCGGACGGTGCGGCAGCCGCCGAGAGCAGCCGAGAGTCCCGTGGACGCGAGCGGAATACTGATGCTGGTGGGGAGCGGGAGGAGGAGGAGGAGGAGGAGGAGGAGGGAGGAGGAGGGAGGGCGCCGAGGGGAGAGTGGCCGGGGAAGCTGGGGAGGGAGGGCAGGAGAGGAGGCGAGGAAGGGGGAGGGGGCACGGGGAGGGAGAGGGGAGAGGGAGGATGGAGGGAAGGGGAGCCAGAGCCGAGGGGGGGAGGGAGGGAGCAAAGGAGGAAGGGAGGGAGGAGGAGAGGCAAGGAGGAGGGAGAAGAGAGAGAAAGGGGAGTAGAGAAGAGAAGGGGTTATAGGGGAAGAGGGAGGGGAAGCGGCGGTGTGGTGGAGGGAGAAGGGGGCTGGGGCTCGAACTTGGAGAACTCTGAGACCTCCATGGAGTGGATGGGATGGAGGGGACCTGATGGGTGCTGCGGGAAAAGTGGGGAAGAGGGAGGCGGGAAAGCGGGAGAGCAGTGGAGGAGAGATGGGGGGTTGGGGGGTGGGGAGGACGGGAAGGAATGGGTTGGGGGAAAAGGAAAGCCAAAGAAGTATTAGGAGAGGGCCGGATCCAAGTGGGAAGGATGAGAGTTGATGCTCTCACGGAGCCAGAAGTGGCCTGACAGGGATGTCAGGAGGGAACTGAGGCAGGATCAGTGGGTGGGTGGTATAGAGAGGCCTGGAGGAGGCCGCAGAGCTGGGGAGGTATTGGGAAGCCAGGACAAGGGGGAGCGTTTCTTGACGTCCACTGTTAGCCGTCTCCTCATCTGATGAGAAGGATGGAGCCTCAGATCAGTCTCCATTCTAGGAAGGGCTTTGGAGGGAGTTTCTCACGAGGGGAGTGGGGCCTGGCTTCTCACAGGGGGAATGAGCAGGGTTGCTGGCTCTCACCCCCTGCCCGGGACCTGTGCGGAGTAGAGGCAAAGCCCAGCCCCCTCCACACTCTCACCTTCCCGGGTGCAGGCAGAGGGTGCTGGGACACACTGAGAGGTGTGAAGCTGGTGCCAGCCTAGGGGAGAGGGGGGAGGGCTGGAAGCTTGAGAGAGGTCACAAGGACGTCAGTCTTCTCCACTCATCACTGGGTGTTCTCACCTGCTCTCTGCCCCCGCCCCCAAAGCTGGGCACTGAGGAAGAGGCTTGGGACAGAGGGACCCAGTGTAAAAGGCAGGCAGAAGTTTCCCTATCTCTGCCTCCCCCAAGGTGGGGGAAAAAGAAACCTGGCTACTAACTTAGGACAGGGAAGAGGGGAAGGGATGAAGATGCCTTCTCTCAGGACCAGGGTCCTTGTTCTGAAAACCCTCAGGGGTCCAAGAGACTAGGAGATTGGCCCTGCCTCTGAAGCAGGCAGCCGCAGGGGCCAGCCCTGGGACTGGAAGGGAAGGGGCCACACAGACATTTGCTGAGAGCCGGAACCGAACTTGCTAGGCGGTGACCCAGGGCTCACAGAGGGGTGAGGTCATGGGAGGATGCCTTAGAAACAGCTGGGGTGGGTAGTGGGGGACACACAGAACGGAAAGCCACAGGCACAACCAAAGAGAGGAGGGCTTAGCCAGGACCAGAGCCCGGTAGGTGCCTCCTGGCAGTGCTGAAATCTGGTTAGGAGCCTGGATGAGAGACTCTTGGTGAGACTCAGGGTCTTTGCTGACACCACGGACTCTTGGCTGTCTGCTGTGGAACAGGGCCGTCTGCTTGAGGATCAGCTGCCAGGAATGTGGGCTTGTGGCTGTTGAAGGTCTGCAGTTCCCTGCACATCCAGCCAGTGGCTACAAGAGGGTCCGGGAAGCCTCTAGTTCTTCTGGAATCTCAGGCTTGCCTGTCCCAGCAGAGGAGGGTGGTTGTCATTGCTAGAGGAGGCCTGGGCAAGCCACTGAGCCTGGGAAACTCACCCTCTAGGGAACAGGGTGACTCAAGGGCCTCTTCTAGAAAGCTCACACGCCATGCAGAGAGTGAAAGGCAGAAAGGAGGAAGAAGCTGGTGGGGGAATGAAGCTGAGGAGACTCACAGGCCTGGAAGAGGTGACTTTGCATCCACACCTGGATGCTCAGGAGAAAGTAGGAACAGGCAGGAAGGGGCCATCAGATGACAGCGATTGGGGGTGGAGGGTGGGGGAGTCTGTCTGAAAGGCTGAGAAAAGTGGAGACACAGAAAGGCAGGAAGAGCCGAGCAGAATCACTTCACAATGTGATGCCAACTTCCATGCCACCCGGTTCTGAGGATGGATCCAGTTTGACAAGTACAGTGTCAACCTCCATGCCACCTCAGTTCCACCCTGATGCCTGAGGCTAACCTTCAGCCAAGGCTAGTCCTGATTAGCGGCAACCTTGAAACGGTCTCATGTAGCCCAGGGTAGCCTCAAACTCACAATGTAAAGGAGGATGGCTTTGAACTTCTGATCCTCCTGCCTCCACTTTCCAAACGCTAATGACAGTCATGTGTCACCATGCCTGGTGCGGGGTATGGAACCTAGGGTTGCAAGTGTTCTAGGCATATGCTCTACTGACTGAGTCCCAGCCTCATCTATTCAATGTTTTCAACATGGCCTTGAACACACCGGAACCTGTGGTAGGTGAGCCTTATGGTTCGGGTTTGAGAAGCCTCAGCCCCAGGGCTCATGCTTTGAACACTGGGTCCCCAGCTGGTGGCACTGTTTTGATGGCAACCAGAAGTGGGTCACTGGGGTTGGCCTTTGATGGTCTAGTTCTCCACTTCTCAGTCCCTGCCACATGAATAGCTTCAGCCTCCTGCCTCAGTGCTAGGTATCCTCTCAGGACAGACGGAAAATCCTTAGTATCAGCACCCCCATGATGCACTGAAGCCCCTCAACATCAGCCCCTCAGAACACACTGACCCCCCCATTAGGCCTCCTCCCCAGGGCACACTGAAAGTCCCCAACAACAGCTCCCCCTGTGACTCACTGAAACTCCTTAGAAACCATGAGTTTTTGCTCCTGAACCATCAGAACAGCTGTATAGTAGGAGACGGTGGCCGCGATCCTTCAAGTCACAAAGGCTTGGAGAGATACATGGTCTCAAAACACCAGGCTAGAGGACTCAGTGCCTGCATTCACTCCCAGGATCCATGGAAAAGGCACTGTGGTGGTGGCATGCACCAGCAATCCCAGCCCGAGCAAAAGGAGAGAGGAGGGTCCTCTGGGCTGGCTGGGCAGCCCATTCAGCCAAATCAGGTTCAGCAAGAGACCCTGGCTCACAAGCAAGTGGAGGGGCTGCAGAGATGGCTCAGTGGTTAAGAGCACAGGCTGCTCTTCTCGAGGACTCCATTCCCAGCACCCACATGGCAGCTCATAACTGTCTCTAACTCCAGTCTTAGGAGATTTAATGCTCTCTTCTGGCCTCTGAGGGCACTAGGCACTCGAGGTGCATGTACATACATACAGGCAAAGCACTCACACACATAAAACTTAAAAAAGCCAAAGAGCAACTGAGAAACACATTTGACAATGACTTCTGGATTCCACATGCACATACACACAACTGTACACACACACATACACAAGCCTGCATGCATATACATATGCACATATACACACCTGTGCATATATGCACAAATACACCTACACATATACATACACACCCACATATGCACACAGGTACACAAGCCTGCACACACACCTGCACCACATGTGCACATGTACCTACCTGTACATACACACACCTGTACACATACATACCTGCACATGTGTGCATACACACCTGCACATACATGTGCACATAAACACATCTGTACATACATATGCACATAGAAGCATGTATGTGTACCCACATAAGCACATACAAACATGTATTGTGCACACACATGCATGCAAACAAAAACAAACCCAGGTTAGGGCTAGGCAGCTCATAATCCCAGCACTCATGAGGTTGAGGCAGGAGGAGAGAGAGTTTGAGTCCAGCCTGACCTATGTGTTGAGATCCTGTCTCAAAATACAACATCAAAAAGGCAGAGGGGAGGCCGGGGAGAATGTTCAGTGGGTAGAAGCTCTTGCCACCAAACCTGGTGACCTGAGTTTGATTCCTGGAGCCTCCGTGGCGAAGGGAGAGAACCTCCTCCTAGTGGTGATCTCTGCCCTCCGTGTGTGACCTTTACATGGTGAGACCAGCAAGGGCTCTGCCAGCTTCTGAGCTGATGGACGTCCTAAGGCTGCCACGCCAGGAGGAAGCTCAGCCTCCCAAGAGAGGCCTCCCCTAACCCTGCCTCTTTGCCTTCTCCAAAGGAAATCAAGGGCCGGAACTGCCCAGCCGAGTCCTTCCCTAACTCCTGACTTACAGGAAGCTTAAGGTAGAGTGAAATGGTTTTGCTGTGAAGTCCTGGGGGGTGATTTGTCACACAGCAGTAGGTGACTGCAGTTATGGGTAACACAAACAAATCTCTCATTTATCTTGGCCAATGTGAAGCCTTTTTCAGGGAGTAGAAAGTGTGACTGGAATGAGCAAGGTGAGTACCATCTTCAACTTGATTTCCATACGAAATTTCCTACATGCCTTGGGGAGATGGCTGCTTCCATCTCTAGGGTAGGGCAAATGATCTAGAGAAAGCTTCTGTCTTAGTTAGGGTTTCTAAACAAAACAAAACAAAAACAACAAAAAACTATGACCAAAAAGCAAAAGCAAGTTGGGCAGGAAAGAAAGGGTTTAATTGGCTTATACTTCCAGGTCACTGTCCATCATTGTAGGAAGTCAGAACAGGAACTCAAGCAGGGCTGGAACCTGGAGGCAGGAACTGATGCAGAGGCCATGGAGGGGTGCCGCTCACTGGCTTGCTTCCCCTGGCTTGCTCAGCCCACTTTCTTATAGAACCCAGGACCAGCAGCCCAGGGATGGCCCCACCTACAATGGACTGGACCCTCCCCCATTGATCACTAGTTGAGAAAATGCCTTTCAGCTGGGTCTCATGGAGGCATTTCCTCAAGTTAGGTTCCTTCCTCTCTGATGACTCTAGCTTGTGTCAAGTTGGCACACAAACCAGCCAGTACAGCTTCTGTACCAGAAAGTGCATATACTAATAGGCGGTCATATCAAAAGGGCACGGGAGCCCATGGAGCCCTCTGGAATGGGCTCCCACTCACAAATATGGGGACAATGTGAGAGTCAAAAAGAATAAAAGGTATTGGTGTGTGTGTGTGTGTGTGTGTGTGTGTGTGTGATGCATGTGTGTATGTGTGTACATACATATGCACATTATTTAGGCTAGCATCAATGTGACAGTGCACTCATGGAAAGAGCGATGGGTCATGACCAATTGACATCTTCTGCTTGTTTTTTTTAGGCAGGGTCTCAAGTAGCCTAGGCTAGCCTCAAACTCCCTAGGTAACTGAGGATAGCCATGAACTCCTGATTGTCCTGCCTTAGCCTATGAACACTAGCACAATGGGCCTTGAAGTTTATAGCACAATCTGCCTTTAGTTCTCTCTGTTTCCTGCTCTGCCAAGATGTGCAGCACTATAGTCCTGTGAGTGAACAGCCTCATGCTCTGCAACCACAGCCATGAAACAGCCACCACCACGCCTGCCCTGCCATGCTGGACTGGACCTTCAAACTGTAAGCCAAACCAACCTCCCACCCTTAGGTTGCTTCTTGTTAGACTTATGGTCACAACAAAGAGAAAAGTAACCCCAGCACTAATGTCATCTTACAGGAATTAGACCCAGGAACATGTCAGAAAACATGAAACCCAGAGTGTGGGGCATTCTTGAGGACAACCAGCATACAAGTTCAATAACACTGTGCCAATAACTACTGTCACAGGTCTATCATTCCAGCTGCTTGAGAGGCTCAGACAGGAAGACCATAAGTACAAGGCCAGTCTGGTCTACAGAATGAGTTCAAGGATAGCCTGAGCAACTTAGGAAGACCCTACGTAAAAATAAGTAAAAAGAGGGGCAGGGATGTAACTCATTGGTAAGCCCCTGCCTAAAATTCCCCAGTGAGGGGCTGGGGCGTGGCTCAGTGGTAGAGCCTCTGCCTAGAATCCCCCAGTGAGGGGCTGGGGCGTGGCTCAGTGGTAGAGTCCCTGCCTAGAATCCCCCAGTGAGGGGCTGAGGGTGTAACTCAGTGGTAATTCACTTGCCAGGCATACTTGTGACCCTCGACTCAATCTTTGGTTTCTTAAAAAGTATGGAAAGCCTATTCTAGTCTGAGATTACAGAGCTCACCCAGGAGCAGTGTGTGGTTCCTGCTGCCATCCCAGTTTAGAGAATCTTTGTATTAATGTTTTTCTAGATTTTTTCTTTTTTTGAGGATTTTTTTTATGTGCACTGGGTGTTTTGCTTTATTTTGTCTGCATGTGTGTCTGTGTGAGTGTGCCAGATCCCCTGGAACTGGAGTTACAGACAGTTGTGAGATGAATGTGGGCTCTGGGATTGAACCCGGGAAGAGCAGCCAGTGTTCCTAACTGCTGAGCCTTTTCAGCCCTGTATTAAATTTTTATGATTTGTCTGTGTGTGAGACGTTTTGCCTGCATGTATGTCTGTGCACCATTTGTGTGCAGTGCCCATTGGAGCCATAGAAGGAGCTGGATCCTCTGGAATTGTAGGGAGCTGCCATGTGGGTGCTGGTAATTGTCCTCTGTAAAAGCAGCCAGTGCTCTTAACAGCAGAGCCATCTCTCCAGCCCCTATTTAAAGGCCTAGGAGGTAGTCTTTGGACAACTGGCATGGTGTGAACTTGGACTTCCTTAGGAGCATCCGTGAGCTGGTGCCACTGCTGTTAGAGATGACACTGCACTCACCGGACAGCGTTCTTCCTCTCTGGAGGGTCTCGTGGAAACACGAGTGTCTGACAAGTTCACAATGACGAATGTAAGCTGTGGGTGTTACAGTTTCCAAAGAAATGCCAGGTTTGAATGCTTGGTCCCCAGTTGGTGGTGCTGTTGTGGGAAACTGTAGAACCTTTAGGAGGAAGTGGGCCACAGGGGGTGGAACTTATTTACATCTTTGCCTGTTGTGGAACAGAATATTTGTTTAATTATGTAAAGATGTGTTGCTGTTTCACCTTGCCTGCCCAAGGTACCTGATTGGTCTAATAAAAAGCTGAACAGCCAATAGCCAGGCAGAAGAGGGATAGGCAGGCCTGGTGGGCAGAGAGAAAAGGGGAACCAGCCAGACAGCCAGGGATAGATAGCTGGGGTCCAGCCAGCCAGACACAGAGGAAGCAGGAAAGCAGGATGGACAGTACATAGATGAGGTAAACAAGCCTCGGGGTAGCACACAGAGTAATAGAAATGGGTTAATTTAAGTTTTTTTAAAAAAGCTAGCTAGAAACAAGCCTAAGCTAAGGCTGAACATTAATAATTATAAGTCTCCATGTCATGGTTTGGGGCCTGGCAGTCTGGGAAATCCTGCCACATTTGCCCTACTTCCTGCCCCATCTCTGCTTTCTGATCTGTCCAGATGTGCAGAGTCTTGGCCCCTGCTCCCTCTGCCATGGAACCACGTGCTGCTGTGTCTTCCCTCCATGACAGGCTGCGCCTCTTCAAACCACGAACCATGGTAAAGCCTTCCTGAAGTGGCTCTTTGTCAGGTGTTTGGTCAGAAGTGAAGAAAGGTCCTTGATAGTGGGTTATGGACACTTATCACAATTTTTCCAACGTTGTGCATATCTGGATGTTTAATGTGTGAGGGGAGATGTGCTTCAGGAACACCAAGGGCAGACTGTCATCCACAGTGAGCACCCCTCCTTCCAGCACAGCACTCTCCTGCTACAAGGCATTTAAGACTGCCAGGTATCACCTGTCTTCAGAAACGGTCATCTCCACTATAGCTCCCCTCCCTGCAGAGACCACACCTTATTATTGTTCATTTCCATGAAACTTCTAAATGTCTCACTGCCTCTGCCCTTGTGTCCTGTTCTTTCCTCAAACACGAGCTGGAGTTATGCCTTCCTGCTCTAGGCCACCACCAACACAGGTGGGCAGATCCAGTGGCTGCCTCTCTTCACCACCACGGGCACTCCTCTAGGTCCTCCATCTCCTGCCCCATCACCATGGAGGGGCTTCCTAGTCTGCCCCTCCTTCCTGGCCCCTAAGCCTGGATAGAGCTCAGAGTCCAAGCTCTTTGCACTTCCCTCTCTCCCGCTAGGTGGTCCCACATGCAGTGACCTCACAGGCACTGTCCGATGCTTCCCAGGGTAGGTCTCCAGCCCCGTCTCTGCTCAAGCTCCTCCCACATGTGGACACATAAATGCTTGACAACCCTTCCCTACCTGATGGGCCATACAGAGCTTGCATAGCCATGCTACCAACCATCCTCACAATGAAGCACATCATTAGCTCAGCTCAGGAAAGAATGGAGGGAATCTTTTCTCTCGTCCAGGTCCAGTCCTTCACCCACTCCCATGGCTCTACATACAAAATGTACTCATTTTCCAACAGTCCCTTTCTTCCATAACTTCTACTACCCTAGTGTCAAAAGCCACCCTCTTTCCTGTGGCCAACTGCAGACTTCCTTGCTGGCTTGATCATGGTCACTGTCACAAGCCTCCAGCCCAGCCCCTGCAGGACAGCTGGAGTAAACTTAGTGACAATTCCCATCATGCTATCTCTGAGGGTGGTCCACTGTGCTCACCATATCTTACACTCAAAGTCCCCAACCCGGCCTGGTCCTGATACTGCTCAATCCCATCACCCTTCACCAGGCTCTGACTTCTCCCACCTCGGGGAGCTTACCCATTCCAGCACCAGCTTCTCTTGGCCCAGCATCCTCTGCAGACCGGGTCTCAGTCTGACCACCCTCCTCCCAGTCCTGGCCACACTCCCCATTGACAATGAAGTTTCCTGTTCACTTCTTTGCTACTCACCAAGCTTCCCTCCCTAGGAGTAAACCCAAGAACCAAAGCCTGTCTCATCTCACTAGCTATTCACTTCCCCGAGTCCAGGAAACATCAGGCAAACTGTATGTCATTAAATGTGTTTCACATAATAATACACACACTGTGTAGTTCTGTGTGTCCTTTAAATGCCCCCTTGTAGACAAAAGTCATCTCTCAGGACTAGAGAAGATGGTTCAGAAAGGTATCCTTGCAAGCATAAGTACATGAGTTGGATTCCTATCACCCATGCCAAAAAAAAAAAAAAAAAAAAAAAAAGCCAGTCACGGTGGTCTACACTAGTAGTTCCGGCACTGGGGAGGTGGGGAAGGGTGGTCTCTGGGGCTCACTGACCAGTAAGTTTAGCTCCAGGCCGCCAAGTGAGTGAGAGACCTTGTCACAAGAAACAAGGTAGATAGTGGGTGAGAAAGGACAGCCAAGGGTGTCCTCTGCCTTTCACACAGGTGCACACACACACACACACACACAGAGAGAGAGAGAGAGAGAGAGAGAGAGAGAGAGAGAGAGAGACAGAGACAGAGACAGAGAGAGACAGAGACAGAGAGAGAGACAGAGAGACAGAGAGAGAGACAGAGAGAGAGAGAGAGAGAGAGAGAGAGAGAGAGAGAGAGAGAGAGAGAGAGAACTCATCTCCCAGCTTAACAAAACACTTTGCTACTTTTCTTGAATGTTCTTGGTGTGATGGAAGCTCCTGTGTTTTCTCAGCCCCTGGTGACCTTGTTGATTCTGAGGGGCCACACAGGATACCTGGTGAGGAAGCTTTGGGAGCCCATGTACACTCGGCAGCGTTCCCAGGCCTATGCTCCCTCCACTTTGCAATGCTATGAGTACAGACGTAAGTCATTTTCTTCATTATAGAGGTCACATGTGGGGAACTCCTGCCCGTTCCTGTAGACGCCTGAGACATCACATTGACTTCCTCCAGCAGGGAACAAGCCTGACGTGGCAGTCCATGAGGTGACTGTGACCAAGGACCCAACACTGGACATAGCCCAGGAGGCAGCTGTACACAGACACTCAGCATTGGATGGAGCCGAGAGGTGACTGTGTGCACGGAGAAGAGGCCTGATCCTAGAGGGAGAGACACAGGAGGTGATTCTTCCTTTCCCTGCACTTCTGGGAAGCGAGAATTACCATCCTTGCCTTGGAACAGAAGTGCAGCCGTGGGGCCTCTTCATGAGCCCAGACAGCCCACCTGGGAGGGTTTGAAGGGGAACGGAACTTGCAGTGTGGAGGAACTACAGCAGGCAGGTGCAGTCGGCCTTTTTGGCAGGATTGTCAGCTCCTAATAGCGACACAGAGACTTGATTTTTTATTTATTTATTTTTGGTTTTTCGAGACAAGGTTTCTCTGTGTAGTTTTTGATGCCTGTCCTGGATCTCACTCTGTAGCCCAGGCTGGCCTCGAACTCACAGAGATCCACCTGGCTCTGCCTCCCAAGTGCTAGGATTAAAGGTGTGCGCCACCGCCACCCGTCAAGACTTATTATTAATTATGAAAGCTCAGCCAAAAGCTTAGGTTTGTCCTACTGGCTCTTATAACTTATATTAGCCCATTTTTATTAATTTACTTTCTGCCTCATGGCTTTATTACCTCATCTCTGTACTGCCCATCCTGCTTGCTCTGCGTCTGGCTGGTGACTCTGCCTATCTTCTTCCCAGAGTCCTCTCTGCCTGGAAATCCTGCCTAGCTATTGGCCGTTTGGCTCTTTATTAAACCAATCAGACTGACACAGTGTGCAAAAAGATTATTCCACAACAAGCAGGTGCTAAAGACCAGTGCAGGGGTCCAGCCTCAGGCTTGTGACCAAGGACTGGAATTAGTCTAGGGCGAGACTCCAGGAGGCCCCAGAGTAAGCAGCTACTTTGGGGAGAGAGGCAAACAGAAATGAGAGGCATGAAGTTCTTGGAGCCTGGTATGGAGGTCCTGGCTGAAGCAGGAAGCAGGAGGGCCTTACTGAGACCCAGACATTGACAACTCGGAGGGCCTCGTAGGACTGCCACAGCGAGGAGTAAGCGCTGAACCTGACAGTCTCCACAGTGATCTTTAGAATACCCTCAGTCCTCCGAGAGGAAGACAGTGTGGGGCGGGTTTTATACCGCGTGCACCCACAATGCCTGGGGCTCAGATAACAGAAAACACGAAAAGACAGGAGCACGTGCCAGCCATGCAGACCAGCCAGTCGAGAGAGAAAAGGGTGACCGACAGTGGGACCGAGAGACATGGGGAGTGTGTTTAAGGGCCTACGGGGGGGGGGGGCAGCCATGGCTGTGAGGGGGGAATCTCAGCCATAGTAATCTGTAACGATCAGAGGGAAAGTCCTGGTCTCACACACAGGCTTTTGGAAAATAGAAAAGGAAGAAACTGTTTCAAAACCATTTCACAGGGCAGCAGATCCCAACACCCAAACCTGACATCACGAGAAAGGAAATTATAGGCCGATATCCCTCATGGGCACAGATGGAAAAAAGCCTTACCAAAATACTGGAGATCAAAATGGTAATATGTGAAAAGGTTAAGACATCGTGAATGAGGGATTAGACCACGAGCAGTGTGTGTTTAACATTCAAAGAGCAACGGGTGCGAGTCAGCACGGAGCACAGTGAAGGGGAGGCCCCAGCAGGCAACATCTCAAAGACACAGAGAACCCCCAGAACTGTTCTTATTCGAGGAGCACACACAGGAAGCCTGAAGCCATCTGCAAAGCCAGATTCTAGAACAAACATGTAGAAGAAAGGTCAATGGGACAATTTAAATTATATTCAATGGAATTAATTATACTAGATGAAGATGGAAAAATTAAGTCCTGCCAAAATAGTATCAAACATAGAGTGCCTAGAAACAGCTTTAACAAAGGGTGCCATGTTCACCATGTGCCACAGTGCCTATAAACAAAGGGTACCATGTTCACCATGTGCCACAGGGCCTATAAACAAAGGACGTCATGTTCCCATGTGTCACATTTCCTAGGGAGTAAGAAGAAATAGGGTGCCTGCAGGTTGGAGGGTATTACCACCTGTGGACGTGGCACAGCACCCATGGAAAGCCCAACATTCTTCTTACAGAAGACACAGGTTCAACACAACATGTCTATGGAAACGCAAAGGATTTTGAGGAGCCAGAACAACTTAGAAAACAAAACCTGACAAACTATTTGTTTTCAAACTTAGCTGAAAGCTCTGAGACCTTGGGGATTGTGGCTTTGGTGTGAGGACAGATAATTCAGAGCAGAGCAAAGAGAGGTGTATAGACCCATATTTATAATCAGTAATTTATTCCAAAACAGAGTGAAAGCAGGGCGGTAAGATGGATTTGTGAATAGTGGTGCTTGCTACCAGGCCTGATGACCTAGTAGATTCAGGACCCACCAAGAACTGATGCCCACAGTTGTCCTCTGATCTCCAAATGCATGCACGTGTATGTATATGCACGCATTTGCACACACACACAAATAATAATAAATATATGTATTTTTTAAAGTTGAAGTAGGAGCAGCAGAGATGACTGAGCGTTAAGAACGCTGCAGAGAATCTCAGTTCAGTTTCTTGCACCCACACAGTGGCTCAAACCATCTGTAGCTCCAGCTCCAGGGGATCCAACATCCTCTTCTGACCTTTGAGGGCACCAGACATGCACATACAAGTGGTAAACAAACAGACAGACAGACAACATACTCATACACATAAAGTGAAATTGAAAAATTAAAAAAATTAGTTAAAAATGATCAATGGGAGGGAAGCCTGGGGCAGAGACACACGTACAGCTCACAGTTAACTTCAAGCTCTGCCACCTACATGAGAGTTCACTCAAGGGCTGGTCAGGTGTGAAACTCAAGCCATCAAGCTCAGAGAGTAAATATGGAAATTCTACATTGTGAGGTAATAGACAGGATGTGGAGGCCATGCCCATGCAAGTTACACTCCGTGAGGTCTGAGAACACTTCGTACAAAAACCACAATAAATACAAAGTCAAGACCCAGGCCTGAGGTCACGTCCTCAACCCAAATGTGGAGGACACTATGCGTGCAGATCACTAAACAAATTTTCCTTAGTGACAGCATGTCACCATCAAGTCAGTACAAACAAGGGCCAGGACCCTAAGGAGGCATTTTCCAAAGAAACTGTAACTTGGTAACAGGCACAGAAACGCGGAGAAGCAAAGTGGACAGCACAGAGCCACTCTGACAGGGGTGAATGAAGGAGAACCTGCCAGACCAGGGGGTGGGGCGTGGAGGAAAGCATGAGGGCCATTCCACAGGCCACCAGTGCGGGTCTGCTGTGGTCCATCCCAACACAGCTACAGCCTTCAACAGGAGGATGGCCAGCGAACTCTGTCACGTGGGTACAGGAGGAACCAACCATAAACATAATGGAGAGGATGAAAGGACAAGCTGTGGACTGTGGAGAGTGGAGCCAACACAATGAAGAGCTCCTACAGACCAACAACTAAGGACCAGCAGTCTGTCTGAGAACAGACAAGACACCTAAATATACGTTTCACAGAGAACACGTGTGAGGGACTGATAAACACATTGCAGGGTATTTATGTTGAGGACCAAGGGACAAGTGCCCACTTCTCATGCCTAAGTCCCCATTTGTTCCCAGCACCAAAAAAAAAAAAAAAATCAATATATAAAGAAATTTTAGACAGTCCTCTTAGTTTCATTTCTACTTGGAATGATAAAACAGGCCAACCAAAGCACCTTAAGGGAGAAAGGGTTTCTTCAGCTCCCAAGCCCAGGTCACAGTCCATCATTTCAGAGTCATCGAGGCAGGAGCTAGTGCTCAGCCCCCTGTCTCCACACTTGTACATACAATCTAAGATCCCCTGCCCAGGGAATGGCGCTGCCCACAGTAGGTGTCTTCCTACTTCACTCAAGGTAATCCCCATGTAGGTCATCCTGTTCTAGACAACCCTGTGCGGTGGCTCCTTCCTCAGGTGGTTCTAGGTTGTGTTGATGTGACAGAAGTCACCATCACAAAGGTGTCCAACATCATGCGTTCAAAGAAAACACACACTGAACCACAATGAGGAAACTATTCCCCAAGTCAGATGGACCAATGAAGAAGACAATAGCAGAAGCTGTTGTGATGTGGGAGGGACTGGAGTGTTTACACACTGCTATGGGAGTGTACAAAGGGGTGTGGTGGAAGGCTCCTGGAAAAGCGAAACACTGTCTAGTTTTAGCTTTTAGGACCTGGAGTCTTACTCCTAGGTATTTTCCCAGGATGAAAACACATGTCTACACAGTCCACATGATGACTTGGGCAAGGGCAGTTGAGTGTGCTTGGTAGTGACACAGAACAGCCCAGTGCTCCCCAAGAGCAGTCAACCCATGAGGCCTATTCATATCGCAGACTACCATTATTCAGCAACAAAAAGAACTGCTGGTGGGAACGCCTGTGTATACCGATTCCTAGGCAGACCCATCAGAAAGCAGTTCAAGTGCACACGAGAGATAGGGAGGGTGAGGAGACTTGAGGCTTCGGTAGTTTCTCACTTCTGTGAGACAAAAGCAACTCAGGAAGGGTTTATTTAGGCTCACAGTTTGAGTACAGTCCGTCATGGTGGCAGGAGCATGAGGTGGCTGGTCACATCGTATCCTCAGTCAGGAAACACACACACACACACACACGCACACACACACACACGCACACACACACACACACACACACACACACACACACACACACGCAGAGAGAGAGAGAGAGAGAGATGCTGGTGCTCAGCTCAACCTCCCCGTTTTATTTAGTCCAGGACCCAGCTCATGAGATGCTGCTGCCCACAGTTAGGGTGGGTATTCCCACCTCAATTAGCCTATAGAAATTCCCTCACGCCCAGACACCCCAGAGGTATCTCCTAGGTGACTCCAAATCCTACCTGACTGATGGAGATGAACTACCACGAGTGCTGATCTCACCAGTGACCCCCAGAGCAGTGAGAACGGCGCCAGACAATCGCCTGCGACAGCACGAGAGATCTCAGACACCAAGTGAAAGAGCGGCATCACAGAAGAGGCCCATCTGAGACTCAGGATGCACTTAGGACGGGATGGGTCTGGAGGAGCACGGGAGGGTTTCTGCTTCTTCATCGGGCTGCTGACACGCACCCCCGTCCACTTTGTAAAGGTCTGCCGATGGCTGAGGAGATAGCTCAGTTGGTAAAGTGCCATGCGGGCATGTGGATCTGAGTTCAGACCCACTGCACCCACACAAAGCTGGGTGCAGTGGCACACCACCGGCATTGGGGAGGTGGAGACAGGAAGATCACCAGGCTTGGTGGAGAGCCAGTCCAGCCAGTGGGTGAGATCAAAGTTTAGAGCGGGTCCCTGGCTCAAAATGAATAAATAAATAAGTAGATGAGCATAAAAACGAGGAAAGGAAAGCAATAGAGGAAACCACTTGACATTTACCTCTGACCCCCACAAGGGTGGACACACTTACACACACAAAATTCTTTAAAAAAGAATTTGCTGGAGTGTACATTGTAACCTGTGTTTTCTTTATTTTAACGTGTGTTTTGTTTTTTTTTTTTTGCCTGCAATGTATTTGTGTGCTCTGTGTGTGCAGCGCCCGTGGAGGCTTGAGGATTGTGTCGCATCCCTGGGACTGGAGCTGCAGACCTTTGTGAACTGTCTTGTGGGTGCTGGGAATTGAGCAACCAGTGCTTTTAACTGCTGAGCAATTGCTCCAGCACCTTGTGTGCGTGTTTCTCTGTGCAAAATATAAC